CTTTAGATCTGTCTTAGCGCGCGGCTTGGCCACTCACATCACGGACCATGACGTCGACCGCGCGCGTGAAAAATGCCGAACGCGGCGCGACTCTCGGGTGCGGAGGATCGGTGGCCCCTATGGGGATTCGTTGGGCGATCTAGCCTTGAAGGACTCTCAATAATGTCTTAACTGTTGCTGGATTCATCTCTCGCTACCTGCTCATCTACCTAGGTAGTCGATTGAACTCACAGCGCCACAATGGCGTCTACCGCGACGGGCCGGAATGTTGCGGATAAGGAAGAGGTGGATTCCACGAACACAGCAGGGGAATCACCACGCGGCGAGCAGGGGCAGTCGGACGATTACCACCAAGATGCGACACTCACGGAGGACAGAGCAGATGGAGAGAAGAAAGAGAAGAAGCCGTCAAAACTCAAAGCAGCGTGGACTAAACTCGGTCTCGATCCGGGCACGCTCATGATGATGGGCAAGGCGGCACTGCCTCCGACAATTTGCCTTGCGATGTATCAGGCGACGCCCGTTGCGCAATACTTCACTACGTTGGGCTACCTGACTGCTATTATCAGTATCCTAGGGTTCTGCATCATGCCGCGCGCAAAGTTCATTCAGACGATGACGATGAACATATTGGCGACGTGTGTTGGTTCGGCTCTCGCTATGCTCATGGTTTGGTCGGGAGTCAAAGCCCGACAACATACGACTGTACCTGGAGCACCACCACAACGTTACAACTCTTCGCAGTCGGCAGTCCTTGGAGTGTGGCTTTTCTTCCAAATCTATGTTATCAATGCTATGAAGGCGAAGTTTCCCCAACTGGCTTTTCCGGCAATCATTTACGCAATTCAGGTCAATGTTGCAGCGACTAATGGCTTCTTGTTTCAAACAGTACCGCAATGCGAGTCCTTCATCAGAAGACTGCTAGTGGCATTCTTGACTGGTTTCGCGATCGCAACCGGAGTGGCCCTATTCATCTTCCCTGTTACATCGCGCAAGGTGGTGATGAAGGAAGCAGCAGGATACATTGGCTTGTTGCGAGGGACTCTGGGCGCGCACAAGAACTACATCCACAGCCTGGAAACAAGCGACATGTTCGGCGAGAAGTACGTGCCAGAGGACGGAGATGGGAAGAAGAAGGCGAAACCCAGGCCGGAAGTAGCGGCTATCAAGAAGATGACTGGTTCACTGCAGGCGTTGCACGGCAAGCTTACTGCGGACTTACCGTTTGCAAAGCGCGAGATCGCATATGGAAAATTAACGCCAGACGACCTCGAGGGCATGTTCAAGAACCTGAGGGCGATCATGCTGCCAATCTTGGGTCTCGGCTCGGTTATGGATCTTTTTGAGCGGGCGGCTGAAATCAACCACTGGGATGGACAAGAAGACGAACATGACGAGGAGATCAGAAGGCAAACCGTTCAGGAATGGAACAACATGTTTCAATTTGTTCATGAGCCGTTCAACAACATCTTCCAGGCTCTCGATGATGGACTTGCACACGTCATGTTCAAACTACAGCTGGCCAAGCCGCCGAAAAAGAAGAAGGGCCAGAATCAGGACGACGCCGAGGCGAAGGGTGACGCTATCAAACCAGGAGAACCGGGCTTCGCAGAGTACATGCAGAAGCAAGCCGACGCCTTCTTCAGCAGGAAGGAACCTACTTTGCGCCATTGGGTCGAAACCAAGGGCATCAAGCTTCGCGACGATTACTTCTCGTCTCCATCAGCACTTGACGAAGAAACTCTGAAACTCATGCCGAGCGTCACCACACGAAATCGGGACCAACGACAGCTCTTCATGGTACTCTACGTCATGTTCCTACTCAACTCCATAAGCCGGTCCGTGATCGAATTTGTCAAATTCGCAGATGAGCGCGATCAAGCGACTTTGAAAAGCAAGTTCATCTGGCCTGGTGGACGGCGTTTCAAGAAATGGGCGAAGAGCATCTTCGCGAGCCAGGACTCTACCTCCGACGACGAGACGACAGTTGCGGGTTTCGACAGGAGCAACACGACTGTTTACATGGGTGAAGCGTATAAAGAGAAGAAGGACCCAGAGCATTTACCGCCTACAAACGCGTGGCAGAAGTTTGGCAATGGTGTACGTGGCATCTCACGTTTCCTGCGAAGTGATGAGTCGGCTTTCGGTTTCCGTGCTGCGTGTGCGACGATGAGCATAGCTGTTGTCGCTTTCCTCCGTCCAATGCAACAGTTCTTCGTCGAACAACGCTTGGTCTGGGCTCTGATCATGGTGGCCATCTCTATGACCCCGACAGCTGGCCAATCAATTTTCCAGTTCATACTCAGGATCGCAGGTACAGCCGTCGCAATGATAGTAGCCTGGCTCATTTGGTACATCCCTGGGCAACAGACTGCGGGTATCCTGGTTTTCCTTTGGTTCTTCGTCGCAATCGGCTTCTACATCCCATTAAAACGCATGGATCTCGTCATCGTCGGAATGATCAGTGTGGTCACTGCTACTATGATCGTCGGTTATGAACTCCAAGTTCGTAAGATCGGAGAGCAGGCCGCAACAGCAACGACGGGTCAACCGGCATATCCTATCTACACACTCGGCCCCTACCGTCTTGCCACTGTGGTCGGTGGTCTAGCTGTCGCCTTCTTCTGGACAATATTTCCCTACCCCATCACCGAGCACTCTGCGCTCCGACAGAAACTTGGCGGCGCGCTATACCTTTCGGCAAATATGTACAGCATCATGCACGAACAGGTCATGGGCCGCATCCGCGGTGAGCTAGGCGGCGACGAAGAGACTGACAAAGAGAGTCCAGGCTACCAGCTCGTCAAGGCTCGGAATAAGGTCTTCGCCAAACAGATGCTCACCCTGCAAGGACTGAAGATGCATGCCGGATTTGTCAAGTGGGAGTTCCCGCTTGGAGGCAAGTTTCCCAAAGAAGAGTACGAGAAAATCATTGGTTACGTCGAGAAGTACGTATTACCCCCAACAATGCAGCACTGTAATGGACTGAGCATGACTAACAACACACATCAGCATCGTGAACTACACGGCCCTCCTAGGCTACGCCTCCCAAGCCTTCACCCACCCCTCCCTTAACCACCAATCCGCCGACCCCACATCTCCCGAAGCAGAAGAAGGCGCCTTTCAAGACCACCATTCTGCCCAATGGTTCAACGACTTCCGCCGCGTCATCCTTTCCGCAAAAGTAACTTCGCATGAGATTACCTCATTACTCGCAATGCTCTCTTCCAGTGTCACAAACGCACAGCCCTTGCCTCCTTATCTACACGCCCCACCAGGTGGGCAGCTCAGCCGGAAACTAGAAATGGTGGACCCCGAGATCTTGAGCTTGAGACACATCGCCGAGCCAGGATACGCGGCCTTCGCGGTCATGAGTATAAGTACGAGATGTATACACATGGATATCGAACGGTTGTTGAAGGCCGTCAAGGGCCTGGTGGGCGAGTTGGACTTCTCATTCCATGTCGTTAGCACGAAGGATGCTGCGAGTTCGGATGACACGCTTGTTAAGAGGAGTTCGAGGAAGCAGGATTAGACATTTTATAGACTGCACAGCTTTTGTAATGTTTGGTAATGGGAAAGAGATTCACACGATTGTATATAAGGTTGAGCAAGGTTGGTTATGACAAAAGTGTAATAGTAAGAGGGGGCGTCCCCATCCATACGAAGAATCTAGCTAAAGAGCGACGAGAAAATTTCATCGCCAACCGTGTTACACCACATCACCTCTCTCTCGTCAGCGGGCATCGGAGTGTTGGACCCGGCGCCGCTGACTCAAGAAATCCGAACATCCATCAGAGCGCACTAAATCATTCTCGCAGAAACGCTTGCCATATCATCCTCAAGTTTGAGCAAGAATCTACTGGCAAGTACCAACAGCCCTCGCGGAGAAGATAGGCTTGTTAGGTCCGAAAGTACCGCAGCGACCAGTGACATCGTAGACGATGCTGTTGACGCTCGAGCAAGTGTTGTCAGAGTAGGCAACGACTAACACGATCAGATTAGTTCTCATCATCCCGAAACCAATTGCTTCATTCAAGGTAACTCACGAGTGCAACCGGCAGGCAGCGCCGGCAAGTCGGTAGGGAGGATCAACGCGGAGTCTGTGTTTCCGCTGAAGATGGGCGAGGTGGGGAAGCAGCTGCCATCGGCGGGGATGTAAGCGGTCGTCACGGCGATGCCGCTATTGCAGCCTGGGCCAGAGTAGAATTTGAGGGGGACGGTTTCGAGGCGCTTGCTCATCTCCGTTGGGGCGGCGTTGATGCTGACGGCAGCGATGAGGAGGGCGATGGTGGTGGTGAACTGCATTTTGAAGGGTGTGTGGGGTTGGTTTGCTTGAGCGAAATGTAGTTGAAGGTGTTAATGATACTGTTGTGATGAAGACTAGATGATGGGTAGATGCTGTATTATTTATACTTTGTCGTGAGACTCATTTCCTGGGCAAGGTATGCCTGGCTGTTCACAAAGTTTGGTTAGCCTACCTCTGCTGACACGAAGGATGCCTCTTCGCACGGACGTCTCAACGAAGTTTGCATGGCCTATGGATCTCTTGAAGATGTTGGTGTGAATAGATACGAGGGCTGACGTCTGGCGATGTCGGCCTACGGCGCAGGTATCAAGGTGCATCAAGCTCCCAAATCCGACCCTGCGAGAGATCATTGGTCGTCCACTGGATAGGATTCTGGGAGGTCTGGCTCCAGGCCAAAGAGGCGTTATTTCCAACACCTATGCGACTAGGCTGATGCTTTCGCGATGCTGTTGAGAGCTTGGGATGCACACTTTCGCCTCACCGCCAGTAGTCAATCGTGTTGGTGGTGAGCCAAACTTGTTCCTCCTTCTCTTCTAGAAGGCTGATTCACCCTCGTGGGTAGACCGTGTCATTCTTAGCGCATCTTACTGTGCAATAGTTGTGTGACCTATAGGTACATGCTACTGCTCAGCTCACTCAGAAAGCGCAACACCAATTGCGAACACGTAACAGCATCCGGGTTAAGGCCGCGATGGGTCGAACGGATCGTCGGGTCGACTGGTACCTGTTAGAGGTAATACAACAGTATACAGATGGGAGCCGCCAAGGTCGAGGAGGATGAGAAGGTATGCATCTTCTGCATGATTCTGCTGCACCTCATCGTCGAATATGTGGACCTCGTATCCCTCAACGCCATTACAGTCTTCGCAGCGAGGTACTTTGTGAGCAACGCATGAGTACGCGGATGAGGTGACAGACGTTGATGTTGTGAAATCCGATGTTCTCATTGCTAAGAAAAGGCTGTGAGCTCTCCGATCCGATGTGTTGCTCGATCTCCCGTAAGCATAACCCGACCTGTCAATGGATGTGGCGCATTCCGAGTGAAGCTGACATGCAAGTGATGTGACCAACCTGCATTTCCAAGCAGAAGTTCTGACGTTCGTTTGCCTAACACCAGCGATCGAATCGATGATATATTTCTTTTCTCGTATGAACCTGGTCTGCTACCCTGGTAGGCGATCCTGCGAGGCTGGACGTCCCGTGCCGCTGACAAGGTCTAGGCTTTCCGAAGGGGCCGCATGGTAGCGGAAGCGCTAGGTTCCTTGGTGAGCAGTACGGAAGCGATGTTGGTGAGATGGGCTAAGCGCGAACGATGGTCTGCAGGAGGTGGTGCAGGTAGACGTAGATGAACTGTACTAGGGAGGCCACGATGCGGATTGAGACTGATCATAGAGACGCGATCTCATCTGCATCTCTTATGTACATCAACATGATCGTCCTGGCAGTGTTCGTTTGTATCCAAGCACCAGTCGTAGAAAGTCCCATTGTATTATCTTTCCACTCAGATCAGCTATTGCCACCCAGTGACTATAGGCTAAATGCGATGCGATGGCCCACGGACTTCCTCGCTTCGAGGCTGCAGCTCGGAGATGCTAACGCGAACTGATTATTTCGTAACACGGACTTTTGTTGGTCGAGAGGTGAGCATCATGCCCGGTGACGCCGGAGGAACATGAGGTGGCTTCAATGCACCTTTCCACTGCAGACTTTGTACACGTCGCCCCGTGATCGAGTAGGACTGGAAACAACAGCGGATGGGCTGCGACCCGCTAAAGTCCTACTGTCTGGTTGCTTTGGAGATGAAATGAACTTTGCGTGATGAGGTAGGAGATGAAGGACCAATTGGCAGAAGTGGAAGCGAGGCGATTCTCGCTGCTTAGTCATGCTTCAGCGGTGGGGCCTCCTCCAAGCTTCGCTTTCTACTAGGCAGACCTAACACAAGCACGGGACGGTAATTACACGATAAAGAAAGCACCTCGGTTTCATAAAGTCTGTCTAATTGCTGAACCAGTATGGTGTACTCCATTCCCTTCTACCTAGGTATGTGGCACGCATCGAACGCGGCTTCTTGGCAAACAAATACCTACCTTCCCAAGCGCAGCTCACGAAGGGGCCTGATCCCCCGTCACCTCACGAATCTCTCGTCTCCACCTGTAGACAAGCAAGGATTTGGCTAACAGCTCGTCATCTTCAATCTGACGCAAATATTCAATAAATTCCTCCTCTTCATCAGGTACTATATCCACAGATTTGATGCACCTCAAGGCAGAATCTATGCGATCAAGTACTCTCTCTTTATTCTTGCGGAGCCTCTCGTAATCGTCGAAATCTGCAAAAGCTTTTGTGGCGTTGATGAAACCAACAGGAAGAGCCATATTGTCTAGGCGTTCCAGTTGTTTTTGTTTTCCTTTGTCTGCCTCCAAGGCTAGGTCAAGTGCGCTACGTCCATCGTTATCTTGAGCCACAATGACTGCTCCCGATATCTTGAGTAAAAGCAGCTGGCTTATATCACTTGCCTCTCCTGACGCGTCTGGCAAACAAAGATCACGTTTCGCCACATAGTGTAGCGTCGTTTGGCCGTTGTCATCTCGGTGATTGGGGTTGGCTCCACGATCCATCAAGAAGGCCACGACACATTCGGCAGCTACTTCACACGCCAACTGTAGAGCTGTTGCTCCACCGCTTTGTCCAGTCGGATTGGGCTGCGTTGGGGTGTCGACGGGGAAACCGCGGTCTAGCATCGTGGCTAAGATCTTAGTATCATCGATCGAATCTTCCGCCGCGATATATCTAACCATCCTGTGAAAGGCGGTGTTTCGCTCCAAGTCCGAGGCAAACATGTCAATGCCTGCCTTATTCAGAAGTTCTGCGGCCTTGCAGTGCTTTTCTGTTTGCACACGTGCATAGTGCAAGGCTGTTCGTGCAAGTTGATCCTTGAGACTCAAATCGGCACCATGTTGCAGCAACAGGCCAACAAGATGAGTATGCCCGTACTCGACTGCAAAGTGGAGTGGCGTTGCATCCGCTCTATTCCAATCGTCGGATCTCTGGCCGAAAGTACCTTCGTGAAGAAGACCATGGATATCCGAGGTACATGTAGTCTTGACGGTAAGGGCGTTTGGACTGGCAGTTGCGGTAAGCAACAGGTCTACGATACTCATGTCTCCATAGCCACAGGCGATATGGATAGGCCGCTGTCCTACGCTATCCAGCAAATTGGGGTTCGCGCCATTCACCAATAGATATTTGACAACCTCGACGCGTCCAGATGTTATGGCGTAGAATATCGGAGTTCTTTCGCGCACATCCCGCATGTTGACATCCATTCCGCGATGTACTAGAAAATATCTGACCAGTTCGATCCGTCCCAGTAGAGCTGCCAGATGAATTAAGTCTATGTCATAAGATTCACGATGACGCGAATTTGCTGTTCTTTGCGTACGTATCCAACCTCGACGAGGAACAATCGTCATTGAGTAATGGATGTCGGAAGAATTCTGACTCCTTTATCGTGGTTTCGGACAAGTGCTGTAGTCCATATCTTGAAGAGTATTCCAGCAGAGGGCGCCTCTGAAGATCTTCGTTGATGTTCTCTCTATCTGATGGCCAGCATTAGATTTGCGGGTTGAGATTGATGAGGGCGTCTGTATACTCGTACGTTCTACTAGCTAGGATCCAGTGAGATACAGAAGGCTGAAGTGTGTAACCAGGCACTGATTCGTTGCCGAACTGAACCAAAAAGTCTCGAAAGGACGCGTGTACCAGCACGACGTTCTTTGATTCCGATATGAGAAGCAGATCTCTTGCGCACTTCACGAAATCGGCCGTGGCGTCTCCAAGGTCTTGATCATCGGCCCGTGGCAGCTCTGGAGCTGTACCGATTTCAAGTAGCGTCAGAGGGCGATATGCTGTTGCCACCCAGCGTATAATCTGGATTACTTTGCTCTTCTGACGTACTGGCAGCGCGTGTAGCATTCTGGCATAGATATCGTCGAGACCTCGTGGAAATTCGGTAATGGCTTCTTCAAGCTCAGGACATGTGACACCCTCCAGGGACTTGATCGCAAACTTGACCCACAGATAACTTCCGTCGGCGCCATCCACAAGCTTTTTGCGGACGTTCAAGCGTAATTGTCCGAGTTTGGGCTTCTTGTGTTCAGCGCAGGCCAGAAGCTTCATCCCATCATCGATATATTTGCTTACGTCCTTCCCGATCTGCACGTTATGTGAAGCGTCAATGCGAAGTCGAGGAAACCTATCCAAGAATACCTCGAATGATTCCGGAAAGTTTCTGCTGATAGCGATGGCTTTGAATATACTCGACGGCGTCTTGGAGCGTTGACGGGTTGTAGGAGCGAATACATCGCGGATCTTGACCAAAAACGGGGCGAGAGACTCCTCGATACACTCGTCTAGGCCATCTAAGATGCAGGTAACGGATTTCAGCGTCTTGTCTCGGATCATGGAATCGAATACCCTCCATAGGGCTTCAAACCGAGCGTCATCGAACAGAGACTTCCCATGGTTGGAGAAGGCCTCTTTGATGTGACAAAATTTTGCTTGGTTTCTGACGAGTATTTGATAGATAAGACCTCGAAGGAGTGAGGGCCCCGAGTTCAGTCCGTCTTGGGTCCCGCAAAAGAAGTAGATGACCAATTCCCGATCCGGCTCACGAGCTCCGACTATCTCGCAGTAGTCGACAAGGAAATGCGCAAGCATGGTCTTCCCTTTGCCAGGGCCTCCGGTGATCCAGAGCAATCGTGGAGGCTTCGATTCATGCCACTCGGTGAACTCTTTGGTACGTAGAATCCATTGGCATGTACCTTTCAGCCATCGGCCGTTCCTGGTAATTAGATCTTCCTTGTAGTCGCGAGGGTCACCTGAAAGACTACTCAGAAGCTCACGAAGACATTCTTTGTAGTGGTCCTTATCTTCGTCCCGGCCTATGTAGGTGTTGTTGTTCCCTAGCAATGTGAGCAATAAGCTTTAAACGAAAGATATCGTGGGCCTGACTGACCAAGATGGAGATTGCCTCCGGCGCGAACATTACCTTGATTGAGTGTCGAGCCCATGGTATTGTCGCCAACGAAGGCTGTTGGATGTTTTGAATCCATACTTGGGCTACGATATGGCCTACTCTGGGAGATTTGAGATGAAGAGTAATATCGTATATCTGACAAGGGGGTAATTGTTTGCTGTCTCCAGGTCGCGTCCCAGAATAGGTGTCAAGCTGTAGCCGCCCGATGTGTGACCGTAGCAAAGTATGCTCCCGTCTGATCACGGAACTTCGGCAATCGTGCTTGCAACATCAGCCCGAGTTTGCAACACCATCAAGTGATCGACGTGCCAGCTGTCATATTTGTGCTGATCCGTTGATTGCTGCCAGTCTTGGATGTATACTTGTCCGAATTCCGCGATAATGGAAGACGAGACAATGCGCAAGTTCTTCTTGAAACGTAAATCAAATACAGGCCGCGTAGATCTCCGCAGCGGTGAGCAAGACATTTCGACGGCGCCAGCACCCGAGACGCAAGCATTGGTGTTATCGTCAACAATAGCGACAAGGTGAGTGACACTGATGCTCATTTGGCCTGACTCTGACGATAAAGTATGCCAACCGAAGCAGCCAAGGCCTACGGGCCACTGGTACTGAGCGACCCCGAGAAGGCTGCAGTGGAGTAAGTGCTGAAGGCGTCGCTATTGCCAGAAAATCTGCTAATCTCTAACAGTATCGTCTTCATCCATGGCCTTGGTGGGAATCGAATAGGAACCTGGACAGAGCGTACGGCGGATGACAAACAAACTGCGTGCTTCTGGCCCCGCGATTTACTTCCTGTCGACCTTCCCGACGCACGCATCATCACATGGGGCTATGCCGCAGCAACGATCAAGACGTTGGATGTCGTATCGATTGCAAACCCAACGCAACACGCGGAGAAGCTCTGCTCAGAACTAGCAAGTCTCCGAGTCGGTGTCGTCGATCGCCCAATCCTTTTCATCGCTCATAGCATGGGAGGTATAGTAGCTAAGAAAGCCCTTCTCAATTCGCAGGACTCCAATGTCGACAGTATCGCGCCGTTAGTACACGATACGTGCGGCATCATCTTCATGGGTACACCTCATTGTGGCTCAGAGTTGGCGAATGCGGCTTCTTTCCTCACCAAGATCGTCGGCATCTTCCACACAGTCAACTCTTCGATGCTCGAAGGGCTTCAAAGTCAGAATGCGCAGCTACAAGAAATCGATCGACGCTTCCATCAACTTCTCGCCAAGCGCGTAGGGACAGATAAGGCCGTGGAAGTACGCTGCTTCTGCGAGAGCGTGCCTTTTCCCGGAATCGGCATCATTGTTCCAGATTATTCGGCCGGCCCACCGGGGTATGAGCGCATCGTCGTGGATGCGAACCATATTGAGATGACCAAGTTCTCCAAGAGAGAGGACCAGACATATCAGAACGTCTTGGCTGAGCTGAGACGGATGATCAAGCTGGCGAAAGAACAGCATGGAGACCAAAGCGACCCGAGTTTGCAGAGAGCAAACGTCAGCCACGTTGGTAATAACGATCGAGGTGCCTTGGCCAACTACGGAAGTCAAACCATTGGCACGGGCAAGGGTGGTTCAACCCATTACGGTAGGTGTTTCCTGTGCCATGATTGAATGTCGCGCTGATGATTCCAGGAAATACCAACGACTTCAGAGGTTCGTGAGCATGGTTTCTGGGTCCCGTTGGCAAGAAATGAGAAGGTCTTCTGGACTGATGTAACGCATTGGTGGCAGTCACTTAGGTCGTTCGATACGGTCAAACCAGCTCAATATCGACAAGCTGATCTTTGACATCTTTCCACACCTCTCCTTGCATAACCCCATGTACATATGCATCGCCCATCACCTCCCATGCTCTTCTCGCATCTCCATCGGAAACGTGCCGATTTGATTCCCGTAAGACATAAGGAACATTGGCACCCTGCAGTAGCCAAACTACGTCCCCAGCTTCACAGCTAGTCGGCACCAGACCCAAGAAGCCATTTTTAGTCCTAGCCAAGCGCCGAAATTGACCATTTCTATTTATTGCACCACCGAACTTGTGGTCTTGCCAGTCACGCTCAATTTCTGCCTCGCTAGCTGTGGGCCCGAGGCGGGCTATGCGATCGCTGATGGAAGATAGAGAGGTATCTGGGCGATGGAAATCGGCGATGTAAGGACATTTGGGATTGAATGGAGGACGACGCAGATATGTGCGGCTGGTGTCCATTTGTGTTAGGTTCGCTCCGCAAGTGCAGCTTTGCTGCTCCGTATGTCGGACATCAGCCCGAGCTATCGCGAAGCCAGAACTATCGCCTTCGGAGAGCATGTCTATGTCGCGGAGGATTGGAGAAGCTATACTTTCGTAACCCGTTGTCGTCTCTTCATTATTAGGGTAGTAGAGCAAGCGATGGAGATAGCGTACAACCGAAGCGCACGTTAGTCGCTTCACCACGTGTTTGAAACGGTCCATGTCGGGTTGGTGGTCAAGAGGCAGATGACCAATGTCGTTGGCGACCAGTGTGGTGGTTAATGCCTCGCATCGTGTTTGTCCTGTAGACCGATAAAATTTCGGAAGGTTTAGTGTAAGCGCGCTCCACCGAGGATCGAATTGCAAGCGCTTTCCGTGCCATGCCCATGATCCGGCAAGCTCCACAATACAGTCAATTTTGAACCCACGAACTCCGAGCACGCGGTTATCCGTAGGCACAATCGTCAAGGCGTCCAATTTCGACCCTGAAGTGGCATTGTAGCCCACGCTTGCGGAGGCGAGCTCTGATTGATAGGCCTTGTCTTCAAACTCTCCGACCCAAGTTGGAAATCCTGGAAACTTGCGTACCGATAGGTCAGTAACCCAACTCAGGCAGTTGAGGTTCTTCGTCTCATCAATGAGACAACGCAGCGCTTCGATATAGACCTGCTCTGGGCTCTTACCGTAATCGGCAGTTAGCCCAAAAGCCCCGCGAGGTACTATGCCTAACAATGCAAAGACCTTGTCTTGGGGATTTTCGCACCCGGTCATGCGGGCCAAAGCCAGGAGTTGCGCAAAAGTAAAAGGCAATGTCTTCTCTTGCGTTGTAGGCGGGTTTAGCAATCGCCACCGATTGTGGAATAGCTCCAGAATGGCCTTTTCATGGTGGTAGTGACGATTGTTTTTGATGGGGAGAGTCAGTGCTTGCCCAACTGTTTCGTGAAACCGATGCTCCTTGATCCATGCAACCAATAGCGCGACTCTTCGAAGTTCTGAAAAGTCCAAGATGTCCGTACCGCACAACATACGGATGTGTCGAGCAAGCATGACTTCCTGAAGTACCCAGCAGCGAAAGAAATACTTTCTTGCGAGAAAACGCGTCAAGCTTTCAAAGTCTTTGGCAGAGATCGAGTCGACTTTTGCTTTGTCGTCATCTTCCAACGCCTTCTTCATGAAGTCTGTGTAAATTGAGCATTGCTGATCCTCTTCCATATCGTCGAAACATAGCAGTTTGTTGAGGCGCCGCATGATTGGTATAGCTTGCTCACTATCCTCATCCGCAGGGCCCAGCCACGATATGACCAATGAAGCTTGGCTATAGATCTGAGCCATCAAGCCAACCTGCGTATTTCGCTCTTGAACATCGTCTTGATTGACACATAATTTGTCCTAGCGATCAGCGTCTACAGTTAGTCGGGATACCATATTTGCTTCGCACGGGGGGTTACGAACAATCCAGAGGAATTGCCCTTGGCAGTCGACTTCCTGACACTTTACGCTCACCTTGCAGATAGCCCTGAGCGCGCACTCCAAGTTGGCCGTAACATTGACGCGCAGTCCATTGCAGATGATGATCACTTCCTGCACCCATGTTATGGACTTTCCTTCGTCGAACCAGTACCGATGCAGTGGGTCGCCCCAAGTGTAAGACAACGCGTGGAACTTCGGGGTATTGTGCTCAAGATCAGTCAGGTGGAGTGTGCATGTGATAGGTTGGTCGTCGTTCTGTACTGGGTGAAGCTCGATGACGCGGATCGATGTCGCTGTCGGCAAGGGAGTGTACAGGTCTGGATGTCGCGACAGTGGCGCGTCCATGGTGCACATGTGGGGCTGCGAACTAGCTCTAGTTTCGCTGGAGCACAATCGGCCCGACAGCACTATATAGCATCAGTAGTAACCTTGGCACAAAACAGCAGTAGAATACCTTGAAGAGGACTTATGGATCTCGTTCCATCGTTGTCGTGTCATTTGGAGCAAAGTTGAATTTGTAATTGAACCTTGGAAAGATCCAAAGTGAGGCAACGCATTATCGTGCTGACCAAGACGCTAACCACATTGGATCGGTTGGGCAGCCGTGGAAACGAAGAACTGCACTCTGCGAGAAGCACCGCGACATGGCACGACTGAGTGAATATCAACGAAGAAATAGATTATATCGTCCAACGTAATGCTACAGACATTTCATCAGACTGCGCCAGAAACACCCATCGATGCAATGCGAGTTTTTCCCTCTTATCTACGCACCTACGCATCATCACCCTTCTCCGCCTTCTTCTCCCTCCACTGCTCCTCAAGTGCCTTGACCTTCTCTACACCCTTCTTGTTACCAACACTGCTCTCCCACTCAGCCCACTTCTTGAACACACTCCGTATCCTCGAGGCCTTTCCGACCTTGGTCATACGCTCGAACAGATCCCGGACGTTCTCTGCGCTGCCGTGGCTCTGCTCCAACATGAGGTACATGTCCCAGACATCGCCCTTCTTGGAGAAGGTGTCGACAAGGCCCTCAAAGATGGTGCGGCCGCGTTCGGCGTCGCCGTTGGGGCTCTTGAACTCGAGAGCGGCAAACTTTTGTGTCAGGTAGCGGTGCTGCGTTGATGCAACGGATTGGGTGGCGCGTTGAAGGAGAGCGCGAGCTCGTGTGGGGGAGGGTGGCTGTACGACGTCCATCAGGAAGGCTGCGTATGAGAGCCAGAATTGAGGGTCGGGTGTGAAAGACTTGTTCTTCATCATGGATTGGTAGAGGTTGTCCGCTTTCTGTTCTGGTATTAGCACACTTCGCAAGGGTATGGGGACACAGCGGTACTTACGTCAATCTTGCCTGATGAGATGTAGATCTTGATCATGCGCTCATGCACTTCGCGGGCATCGTTATTCTGGCACGCCTCTTTGAAGACTGTGTCCATAGCATCGTCGCTAGCGAAGTCGTTCTCAAGATGGAGAAGAGCGGTCCACACGTCAAGCTTCTCTTTCTCTTCCCTGGGGTTGATGGTCGCCAGTGCGCGACGGGCGACCTGGCGTGCCTTCTCGATCTCGTTGAGTTCGCGTTGGAAAACCATGTATCTAACCCACATTTCCGCGCTGTTGGGCTGTCCCAGGAGCAAGCGCTCGTAGTCGGCAATGGATTGCGGTCCATAGGCATCGAGATCACCAGTGCGGTCCTCTTTGATGGTAGCCTTCTTGCTCTTCTTCTTCTTCTTGGGGGCCTCGTCGTCGGAATCAGGCTCTGCGCCACCCTTTTGCTCATCGAAGTCAAGAGTAGCACCTGTCCAGTCGAAGCCAGAAGTGCTAAGTCCTTGTGTTGCCGCTTTTGGCGCATCATCGTCAGACTCGTCGTCTGATACTCCTGCGTCTGCAAGCTCGATATCATCGTCGCTATCAGCACTCTTGACGCTCCTCATGTCTACGCCATCGAGCTCGATACCGCCATCTGAGTCACTTCCTTCTAAAGCCTCAACATCCGAGGCATCCTCCATGTCTTCATCCTCGTCTTCGTCGTCACCCTTGACTTCAGAGTATTTCAAGCTGAAGCTGATCTTTCGTGTCTTTGGATCGACCTTCAAAACCTTGGCTTTCACGGCGTCGTCTTTCTTGTACATTTCCTTGACCTTGTCCTTGTCGACAGTAGTGTCGGCTAATTGAGAGATGTGGCAAAGACCGCTGACGTTGTTCGAGTCGTCAACCACCAGGAAGACACCGAAGTCTTCTACATGCCGGACCTTAGCAGCAACAACCTGACCAGCCTTCAGATCGCTGAACTCGACCGGCTCGGTGTAGGTGCCTTGTACGTGAGAGGCCTTCAAGCTCAGCTGTGGATTGCGTTGGTCCTGCTTGTTCGAAATGACCTTGCCAGTGACGAGTTGGTCGACATGGAAAGCAGACTTCCAATCCTTGATGTACTCGTCTGAGAGGTGGCTGACACGAACGTAGGCTTCGACATGCGGCCCTAGACGGACGTAGATACCATTGTTGGCAACGTGCTTGATGAATCCACGGACAACCTGATGCACTTTGAGCTGATCCCTGTCCTTAATCTCGGGGTCTTTGATCGGTAGTGAAGAGCTCAATACCCTAGAAGGCCGAATAGACAATCCCAGCTTCTTGTTTGGAAGGTCGATGTCGATTACACACACGCGCAAGACGTCGCCGACTTTGAACTCGCTAGGCTTGGCCTTGTCGTAGTCGTCTGCCAACTGCTCTTGGAATATGGGTGCAGCAATGTTGTCGTTTATCTGGACGACGATGGATGTGTCGTGTAGCTTCGTGACACGGGCAGGCAAGATGTGACCTATCTTCAAGTCTTGAAGGGTCAATGACTTACCAGTCACATTGGTCGCAGCTGTTAGATCCAGCTTTCCGGCTGCAACGTCGACCGCCTTGACGCGAACCTTGAGAGCAGAGCCAACGGGGAAATTCTCTGCAACGTCAGAAAGCTTCTCCAGGTCGTCAGTCAGATCAAAGTAATCGATGCGACCGCGAACGTTGGCGGAAATGTTCACCCAGACGTAACGCTCGGCAATGTTGTTGATGAAGGCGACGTGAGATGATCCGGGGGTGATTTTGTCAAGGCTCAACACGTCGGCTTCAGTCTTAACTTTATCGGTGTTTGCGGTCATCTCGAAAGTGGGCGTTTTGTTGTTTGATCGGGAAGTGATGGGGAGGAAACGGAAGTTGCGGGCATCGTGCCTTCCGAGAACCCTGGCTTGGATCTTGTCGTTCATCTTGAAATGTGCTGTTGGGTGCTTCTTGTCTGGGATGCTATCCCAACCATCGAACAATTCCGAAACCGAAATACGTCCTGGAACATTTGCCGCAAGCTCAACGTTGAGCTGTGTGTCTTTGACTGATCGAATGCGAACTGTTGCTAGAGCGCCAAATTTGATGTCGTCGGTAGATGTGATCTTGGGGTCGACAGGTTCCACTAAGGCCTCCCCTTTCGAAGCTGGAGCATCAATGAAGTTGGCCGCTTCCGGTTCAGATTCACTCTTCATCGACAGCCAAAAGAATCCTTTCCCAGCGTCCACGTGTGTGACACGAGCAGTGACAGACTGATCCTTACGAAGTCCAAAGTTTGGCGCTGAAAGCATGTCTTCCGGTAATTGCGACTTGAACAGAACACCACTTATGCCGTTGCCAAGCTCGATGAAGATCTTGTCGGGAAGAATGCCGCGCACAAAGCCGTGTACCGTCTCGCCAGCTTGGAGATCTTCAATGCTGATTGCCAGCTTTGAAGCCTGAGCGTCCTTTCGAAGACTAGGCTTGTTCGAGACTGTTGCTGTCCTAGACTTGCCATGCTTTGTCAAGACCACAAGGTCCTCGAGAGTTCCACCTACCCGAATCTTCTTCATGGTGGAAATGTCTTTCTTCTCCGATCCATCGGTTAGGTGACCTATGCGGAGGGTAGCCTTGACACCATGGCCAATGTCCAGAGTAGCGGTTTCATCGGACTTCTCGATGACAGTACCCTTGACAATGCCACCAGGGTTCAGTGCGTTGAAAGCAGCCTCTTTGTTGATATCAACGGCAGCGGGATCCTTGCAGGATACCAAGAGCTGGTTCTCCTTTGCGTCTACAGAGACAATACGGACGTTGACGACCTGACCGGCGGAGAAGTGTCGCGTGGCATCCTCGATGTATGCTTCGCTCATCTCCGCAGCTGGAAGCCATGCCTTGACGTCGCCGTAGAAGCGTACGGTGGCACCATTCTTGCGAACGCTGACCAAGATACCAGGGCCAGTAGCACCTTTGGAAAGCATGGAGTAATTTGTCCATGGCTTAACATCTGAGTTGACGAGAGACTTCTTTAAGGTGAGTTGGATCTGATGCCTGGCGGGTTCGGTGTAAAGCACACGGGCTGTGACAGGCAAACCTTCCCTAAACTTGCGCTCCGGATGTTGTAGACGGACGTCGGCCAGATGCATCTCTGGAACTAAACCGGTGATGCCCTCGGCAAGGTGAACAAGAACGGCGGTAGCTCCCTTCTTGTCAGCAATGAGCTTGTGCACCTTACCCTTGACAACTTCACCAGCCTTAATATCCTCAATACGAAGGAAGGGCTGGTCAAGGATCTTCTGCTCGAGCGAAAGCTGGAAGAGTCCGTCCAAAGCATTGTAGCCTACGATACGTGCTTTGTGCTTTGAGTCAAGCTTGTATGCGCCAGCCTCTTCGGAGAGAACGTCGACCTTGTCGTCAGAAAGTCTCGAAACGTGCGCGAAACCGACAACATCTTTGATCCCGAGGTCAAAGAAAGCACCGTGGCTTGGCGCCACTTTGATAACTTTCGCGCTGTCGACGATGGTGGATATGGGGAGGAGGTCGATCGGAGGCTTGCGCTCCTTGGGTTTGCCAGACATGCGGGTGGACAGACTAACCACATGGTCTAGCAATGACACACCGACTTTCCTGGGCTCGGAGTCTGGACATGTGAACAGGACACGAGCCTTGACTTTGGAGCCGATCTTGTGCTTGGTGGAGATGTCGGCAGCCTTCTCAGTCGCTCCAGAATGGTATGCGTCGGCGGTTGCGTCTATGAGACCGAGGATCTTGCCGGTCAGCGTGCTGGCTGTGGTGTCGGTAACAAGTACATCGATGGCAGTGCCTGGGAGGAAAATGTCGACAGTGGGCGCTTCAGTCAGCGTGTTGCCCTTGGTCAAATTGCCTGCTTTGGTGTGGTCTGCGGAGAGCTTGACAATGCGCCCATCCGAGTTAAGGCCGGTAACCAGGCACATGAAGACAGCGCCCTCTTGTACCTTGGCATGCTGCACCTTGGGACCTAATTCGCCCTTTGGCAGGAAGCCCTTCAGGCTGCTATCGTCGAGGCCGAGGTCCATGACCAAGCCGTGGTCCTCATTGCTGACTACGGAAGCCTGCACCATGCTGTTTACGGGTATCTTGCGCTTGCTGAGGCCCTTGTTGACCAGCTTGGGATCGATGGACAGCTCCAGCCTCTTTCGTGCTCTTGCACTGGCGTCGCTTGTCGCTGTGATGCATGCGCGGACATACTGTCCTACCGAGAACATGTCCTCTAGGTGCACATCTTCGAAGTCTTCATCGTCGCTTCCTTCTTGCTTATCCGCCTCTGACTCTTTGAGAAGTTTCTCTAGCCTCTCGTTGAGCTTGTCGGACACGGCGGTGAGCGGGACGTAACCAACGAGGTTGTTCGGGAGCGCGAGGACGATGTCTTGGTGAGAAATGTCGGTGATTTGGCCGAGAATGATGGTTCCAGGCGACAATTTCTGCGATCGTTAGCATGACACTCGCATTGCGCAGAGACTGGCGTACCTTGTAGCTCAGACCCTCTGCCCTCACAGTGTCGTCCTTCTCTCCACTGTCATGCGAATTCTTGCTCTTCTTGAGCAGCGGCTTCTTCTTAGACTTGGCGGCGGATCTCTCCTCGTCCTCAGATCCCATGTCGCTGAATCCATCGTCGCCGCCGCTGGGTCGCTTCTCGCCAGACTGCTCAAAAAGAACATCCTGGTTCGCCTTGATCGAAATCTGCTTGTGCTCAAGCGGCGTCAAGACACTGGCGCCTCCTCTGGGAAACGACTTCTCCTCGTCTTTGAAGACACTGGGTTTGGGTGCGGCGCTCTCAGGCTTCGACTTGGCGGGTGATGGCTGCTCGGCATCGGATTTCCGTCGCTTCGCTGATCGGTCGGTGGATGCGCCCTTTGCCTTTTTCGATGGCGCGGCGCCCTGCTCTGCTTTTCGTTTGATTGCGCCCATGGTGCGCAAGTTCTCCGGTTGTGGAGAGGGTGGTGGTACTCAGGTTTGCGCCAAGAGTTCGAGAGTCGCATATGCTCTTCGACTTTTTTGGTGGGTCCATGCGCGCAGATTCTCCGACCCCCGACGACAGGGAAGCCGCGGCTGGCACGTGAGCTAGAGTGGCAGGGCAACGCGCGCGAAAGAGAGCGACTTCTCGATGCAACAGCTTTCACGAGTTGTAGGAAATCTGAGACCCCAAAATGCAATGAAATTTTCATTCACGGTGTTTTCTTCGGCAATTCCGGAACTTTTAGCTATGTTGTACGGCAAACGGGAGGATATCTCGAGGGAAGGCGATGGCCATTAACGCCCAGAACGGCATAGTGCAGCACGTCGGTCGCGCCAGCTCTTCGCGACGTGCTTTGGCCGTGCGCCTTCCTCTCCAACCTCGCCGTCATTTATGGGCATTCGTCTTCTATTCCTATCGGCATCTTCAATTGCTCGCGTGTCTTCGCTTGATCGTTTATTGGTGTTGCTTGTGTATGTGTACTGCTAAAAAGGAACATGTCTTCTCCATGCGCCCCTCGAAGTCTGCTGCTCCAAGAGCCCACGCCTGAGCTCTTTTCATCACCACCTCCACCCTCCTCCGCGACTGTTTGCTCTCGCAAACCCAAACGGCCACCGCCTATCACGCCCAAGCGCTTTACACGCTTCTTCACCCCGCGAAACTCCAAAGATGTCTCATCACGTACCACCCTCACGAGGTCGGGTCGCCAACTACAAGACATCACACGATCTGCTCTCAATCGCAGCCGGGAGACGCGGAGCACCCCACGCAAGACAGTCAACTTCGTCGACATCGAGAACCCAATGCGAACCCCCCAGAGCAGCGCGCGGAAGCGGAAGATACCCTACCTGTCGCCCGCTAGCTCCCCAGCCCAGTCGTCACCGTCGAAGCGATCGCGTTACGTCACTCCGCCCGAAATCGATATACTTCAAGACGAGCTTGACTTGGATGAAGAGGAGCCTGCCCTGTACCCTGCGCCCATCCGGAGGTTAACAACATTGGGTCGGCCGTCAAGAACACTGCAGCGGTCGTTCGGTGGAATACTGGGTGTAGGAAGAGGGTTTCGACGAGACCATGGCGCCTCATGGCAAGACCAGGCAGCCAATTTCTACAGTGGCGCAGACGACCTACATCAGTTGTCGCAGGGCGCGCCGCCCTTCTGCACGGCCAGTTGCAACAGTATGTCATTCACTCATTACCCTACGTCATCACGATACTGACAACCCCTAGCCAACTCTATGCTCGCAATAGGCGATGAAGACGGATACATCCACCTACAAGACTCCGAAGGTGACTTCTCCAAACCCCATGTGTCATGGAAAGCCCACTCCAACGCCATCATGGACGTGCAGTTCTCCTCAGACGACCTACACCTCGCCGCCGGTTCTGGAGATCAGACTGCACAGATTGTCGATGTTCGCACGCAACAGACTCTTGCTGTGCTGGCGAAACATAAGTCATCAGTAAAGCAAGTTCGCTTCCAGCCCGGCGACGACAAGATGGTAGCGACTTCAAGTCGAGACGGTGCGGTACAGATTTGGGATCTCCGGTGCAAGGGCAACCAAGGCTCAATACACTCAGCTTGGGGCTCCGATGCGCCGTATGCAAGTGTTGTACGCACGCTGGCCTCAGCGCACGCGGATATTACTCTCCCGACATCCACATCGTCGGCCACCCGATCACTCTCCAACAGCAAAACCGAAAACATTAGCCGACGGAACGACATTTCGGTGACAGCGCTCTCGTTCATGCCCGCAGGCCGCGAACACCTACTCCTGACCGCGTCAGACGCATCGACATGCGTTAAACTCTGGGACATCAGAGGCCGATACTCCCTGCGAGGGCCAGCCATCCCCATCGCAACCACCCGCCATCCCGAATCCCACAACCGCCACCGACACTTTGCTATCAACTCCTTGACTCTTAGCGGCGATGCATCACGACTATACGCCCTCAGCAAAGACAACACTGTCTACGCCTACTCGACAAGCCACCTCATCCTCGGCGTAGCACCAGAGCTATCCACAACTTCCTCCTCAAAACAAAAATACTGCGGTGTGGGCCAAGAAGGCCTAGGACCCATCTACGGTTTCCGGCACCAGAACTTCCATGCCGGCTCCTTCTACGTCAAGGCATCCTTACGCAAAGCATGCGAAGACCGCACCGAGATGCTCGCAGTAGGCAGCACAGACGGCTGCCCCGTGTTGTTCCCCACCGACGAAAACTTCCTCAAACGCGAAACAAGACACGACGACGACGCAGACGACCTACCTGATATTACTGGCATTGCCGCGAAATCCGCACGACCCACGCTTTCCCGCACATCAACAAACAGCCGTTGCCCAGACACCATCCCCATCTACGAACACGGCACAGCTCTCATACGAGGACACGATGCGGAAGTCACGAGCGTATCATGGGCGCGTAACGGCAGCTTGATCAGTGTGAGCGACGACTTCCGCGTCCGACGATGGAAAGAAGGGAGCCAAGCTAGAGACCTCCGTATGGGTGGTGAAAGTGAGGGAAGGAGATGGCAGTGCGGATGGGCCGCTGTAGGAGATGGATACGACGATGACGAGTAGGATCGTCCGCGAGTTTTTGTACGACGTTGTTTATTATACCCCAGCTATTGATTGTGTAGGAATATGAAAGAAGAGAGGATGATGATCGTGGAATTCGACTTGCTTGCCGGTGCCTATCGTATGTCTCTTCAAACCATTTGACTATGTACCTTGCTGCTGTGGAATGACAACACAGGGCCTGTAACACAACCACTTGGAGTCAGCCACTCGTGAACCTTTCCCGTCTTGCCTATGAGACTAGATATCGACCCGCCTACCCTTTCCTCAGCCAAGGTCTTCCTTCAACCTTGTCATGATTCGCATCTCGATCTTCTTCATCATCATCGCCATTCTGCTTCTCGCCAGCCTCACAGAAGCTTCCTGGTAACAGCCTATACCTCCGCTCATCAAATCGGTCCGCCTGTGTACTTTCGAAACTCCCAAAAGACCCTGATATCGCCCTGCGAGCTCCGCCTAGCACACTGCCGAGGAAGCTTGTTGGCGTAGAGGGCGGAGGAGTGACGGGTTGTACCTGAGAGTTTGATCGATTTGACCGCGGTGATGCGGACGTAGTGTCCGTCGTCTGCACCCCGTCCATCCGGTGTACACGTGTTGGCAACGGCTTGATGGGCCGATCGAAGCTGCCAGACGTACTTGTACCCGTACCTCCCAGCTCTAAAATCTTCTTCGACAAAGACTTGTACTCCAAGGGTGCAGCAGGGAAATCCGCTTCTTGAGACGGCCGCACCGGGAAGTTCTCCCATTGCGACGCTGTAGGTGTAGATGGAAATGAGGTATCGTATCTCGTTGGCAGTGAAGGGTATGAAATCGTACTGTCGGAGTATGTACTCTGCGGTAGGTCTCGTGTTGGCGTAGAAGCTGCAGTAGAGGTAGAGCTAGAAGAAGACGTCGAGTTCCGCAGGGAATCAAATCGCTGTTCCAACACTTTCCCCTGCCCGTCCGCGCCACCACGTTTCCTCTTTTTCCCCCACACCTCTTCGTCTCGCTGTTTCCTCTTGACCTTGTCGTTTACATCGGCGTAGATAGTGCCGTTGAACGATTTCCACACTTCGACGCCTTTGCCGAATACGGTTTCGACTTTTCGATTTGTGTCGTCGGTCATCTTGTTGAGATACTCTTGTGCTTCGTCCTCGTTGTCTTCTTCGTCGGTTTCAGAGCCGTGCGTTGTGTCCATTATGCCGGTGTTGGAAGTGGTTATGAAGGAGGTGGAACTTCCACCATTTCGCCCGCGGAAGGTGTCGAAGAGTGACATTTTTCGTCGCTTTTGCGCTAGGGCGGAGGGTGGAGAGTTGGGTACATTGTTCATGTTGTTCGATGGTGTGTTTGTGGCGCAAATCAGGGAATAATGGACGGGGTGGAATGCACTCGTGACAAGCGGGCTGTGCTATTGAGTTAGTAGATGCGATCGTGAGTTAAGAATTGGTCGGTTTAGTGGATGTTCACACGAAGTTGGAGCCTAGATCTGGGTTTTTTGTGAGCTATGATGATTGCTTTCACTTTGGTATCGAGTCGAATTCAGAGACATTGATCAGATGACACCTCCAGGGCTGTATCGCTTACCATAATGTCTTATGTGTCCTGCAATGTTCACAGATCGTGCCTATGCGCCCTAATGTCGCCCTTTTGGCGTGTTCATCTAATGTCTTTGCCCAAATTAAACGCCATTTGATACCTACGACGTTCCGAAGTCGTCTTCGACAGAGACTTGTACTCCAATGGTGTAGCAGGGAAATCGGCTTCTCAAGACGGCCGCACGGGAAAGATCTCCCATTTGTAGAACACGAAGAGAGATATATGTAACTGTTCTGTATAAGAGGGAGGAAGCTCTGTACATAGAGTAGAGCAAAGTCCTAACAATAATACAATAGATGCTATTTCTAGCTATTTGCTTAAAAGCATCTGTCCACCATCTACAGCTATTTCAGTGCCTGTCACAAAGCGATCCTTCATAATCCAGCCATACGCTTCAGCAATGTCCTCTGGCTGACCAAAAGTACCTAGTAGATTGAGTTGCTTCTTCATGCCTTCCTTTGCCTCTATCGGCATCGGGGCTAACAATCCTTGCAGCATTTCTGTCTCGATTGCGCCAGGTTTGACGATGTTCACCCGAAGCGGCGCAAGATCGACTGCAAGCCCACGCGATAATCCTTCTGCAGATGCTCCCCAGACTGCCGGAATTAGCCATCCAGGCAGAGGCTTTGTAGTTCCGATTCCTCCCGTGAGCGTGAAGGATGAATTTGACGTAAGATGCATGTACGCTCCGGTGCTGATGAGTTTAGCGATAAACAAGGGCGCGATAAGTCGGATTTTGGAACCAAGCATGGCTTGCTCAAGGGTGATGTCTGAGAGCTTGGGTATCGAATGGTGGTCTCCTGCCGTGAATGCGATATGATCCAACTTTTTGCTGCCGTTCGATGTAACTGTCTCAAACATCGTTCCTAGATTTGAATCGAGGTTTTCGGAATCTTTTAAGTCGATCGCGTAGCCAATGACATTTTCTGAAGGAAGAGATGGATACAGGGATCGAAGAAGATGGACCTTGTCTTCGATCTTTGCTTGCTGGGATCCAGAGATGATAACAGTAGCTCCGTTTGACAGTGCCATGCTGGCAATTGCAAACCCAATGCCAGAAGATCCGCCGAATACGAGGACGTGTGTGCCAGAGAGACGATTCATATGGGGCACAGCTCTCTGCGATAAAGGAGCATGATCTTGGACAGACATTTTGGCAGTGTTGATGTCAAACCATGAAATGAATTCTGCCACAATTGCTGCTTCGGTGCTTCTTATAATCTCGTAGCTTGTTGGTGTCGGCGTTACCTAGGTACCTACCGTGCCGGACGGTCATGTGCCTCGAACGGCTACCGGTACATGGCCGATCCGCCCCGCCAACCACTGACACTACAAACAGCAGGTTACTTGGCGGTTGCAGCGTAGTTTCTGTTCAAGAAAGGCCGAGCTGGACGAGCTAATACTCGGGACGGCAAAATGACATTCCCGACGGGCTGACAGGCTTGTGCCCTGCGTAACTTCAAGACGCGTCCCATCAGGTGTCGCAATATTTCGAGAGACTCTTGGCATTTTCCATTATAACAAAAGTTGCTATGTTAAGTAAAGCTCCTAGTTTAATAGGGATAGCATGCACGTGACAGAACGCCAAGAGTCTCCCGAAATATCGCGACACCTGATGGTCCTAATCACGTGTTGAATAAGCGAACGCCGCGATAGCGAACGGCGACCAAGCCGTCAGGAAGCGGTCCTGACGCGCGCGCCAGAATGATGGCACCCTTGCCCAAATCCTTCGATCGATCCGATGTATGCGAGTGGCACAGTCGATCGCAGCTTACTCGCCATCACTCATCCTGCAGCGCAAGCACCATCCTCTTACCCCAAGTAAGCTCGGCATGCACTGATCGCCGCTAAAAAAGCCTTCGGGACAGAGCCGTCACACGTCAATCCTTTTAGTGGCTGTCAGAACATCCAACGAGGATGCTTTCAATCGCAAACGGCAACTTGCCCTTACAGATCTTCTGCAAGCCATCATTGCGACAATGCATAAGGCTATAGCATCGCCGACTTGTACTCGCTTAAGATGTCTGCAGATCATGGGACTGTGTCATACCTAGTGAAGTACGGTCCTACAGTATATAAGATGGATGGCGATATATGTTGTCGCTGCGTTCAAGGTACCTCGTTGAGCATCACATCCCGACGAGATGCGCGTATCTGCAACAACAGTCAGTCTCTTGGCCTCTTTGGCGTCAGCCGACCTTGACAGTCCAAGCTTACTACAGCAATTCTATGCTCCTGGGCGTTTACTTGGTAACTCCTTCGGAAACCCTGGCATTAATGCGACGTACGACTATGTCATCGTTGGAGCTGGCTTGGCCGGCGCTCTGACGGCATCCCGGATTGCAGATGCGTTGCCGAACATGACCGTCGCAGTCATTGAAGCGGGCTCTTTCTATGAGATATCGAACGGTAACTACAGCCAGATGTTAGTAATTGCGAAACGGTATACCAGGCCCACATGCTGATCGTGGAGACAGTCCGTACTATTCGACTAAGTACGTTGGTCCGAATCCCGAAGATTACCAGCCGTTGATCGATTGGGGTATCTTCACCGAGCCTATACCCGGTGCCAACGGAAGACGCTTTCACTATGCGCAGGGGAAGACACTTGGGGTATGTCCCGATCTGGAATAAGTGAAGCTGTTCAAGGAACTGACTTTGGGCAAATATGTAGGGTAGTTCGGCACGGAACCAAGAGATTTATCACAGGTAAATATCTTCCATACGTATTTGCACTACACGGTCTGACTGAGCTCTACAGAGCGACTAAAGGCTGGTATGAGTCGTTCGCAAACCTCACTGGAGATCCCGTCTACCTATGGGAAAACATGTTTCCCTTCATGAAGAAAAGCTTCTCGTTCACACCCCCAGATGCTCGGTTCCGCGCGAAGAACGCAAGCAACGTCAACTACACGCTTTCTGCTTTCGATGCCCCGGGAGGCCCTGTTCATCTAAGTTTGCCCAAGTACGCGCAGCCCATATCTTCGTACGGTCCAGAAGGATACGCAGCCGCTGGGATGAATGCGGCGAATGGCTTCCTAGATGGAAATCTCTTAGGGTATGGCTACTGGCCGTTTACGCTGAGGCCCGAGGACAGTACGAGAAGTAGTACCGAGTCTGCTTTTCTCTCTCCAACAGCTGCAAAGACATCCTTGAAGATCTACCAGTCCTGCATGGTGCGTAAGCTACTCTTCGATGAGTCTAAGCGCGCCATAGGTGTGAACGTTACCGTCGCTGGGACGAAGCCGTTTATCGTCCATGCCCGGAAAGAGGTCATCGTCTCGAGTGGTTTTATCCATACTCCCCAACTACTCATGGTTTCTGGAATCGGGCCGCGCGAGGTGCTCGAGCGACACAATATAAACGTTCTGTCAGAACTCAGCGGCGTGGGTCAGAATCTCCGAGACACACCCGCTATTGGTGGCGTCGTCCATCGCACGAACGTTCCTGGAAGAAGTGCCTGGGAGCGCCAGTCATCATCTTTCGAAGCTGTTGTTGAGCAATACTTGACGAACGGATCTGGCCCGCTCAGTAGTCCCGCGAGCGATTTCGCCGCCTGGGAAAGGTTCCCCGAGCGCTTTACGACGAATATGAGCCAATCAACTCTCGACTTTTTGCGGAATCTACCAAGCGATTGGCCGAACGTGGAATACGTTTTGCAAGCTTCAGAACGCATTCTGTCATCTGCCCAGACTGCTAGCGACACGGGTGTCATAGGCACAATCTTAACTTCCACCACGAGCCAGGGAAATGTTACTATCCAGTCCGCTGACAATGCCGTTGCACCCGTCGTATACGTAGGCTGGCTTGATTCGCTCGAAGACCAAGAACTTGCTGTAGCGGCATACAGACGCGCGCGCACGATTGCAGCCAGCATATCCGCGTTTGGAGAAGAGATAGCGCCGGGGGCGAACATCACGACCGATGCGCAGATCTTACAGTATATCAGGACGAAGGGCATGGGCGCTATTCATCACGGCGCGGCGACGTGTGCAATGGGGAAAGATGCGTCGAGCGGGGCGGTCGTAGACTCGAAAGCTAGGGTGTTTGGCGTGAGTGGCCTGAGGGTTGTGGATGCGAGTTCTTTGCCGTTCTCGGCACCAGGACACACGCAAGGTGTCACTTATGCGCATGCGGAGAAGCTCGCGCAGGATATCATTGATGCAGTCAATGATATCTAGACTAACATAACGTGAGAAACAACACCAACACACTCGCAGCATGCGATCACACACGAGTCTGCGATAACATCAGCGTCATGAAATCTTGCGTTGTAGAGTATCTTACAATGAATATGACGGTCCAGAATAGCGTCAAATAGAAAAAGTACCACTCCAGACAGTGACGAAGGTGGCCACACCATGACATGGGTTCGCGCTTGCCCGACAGTTTGTCGAGCAGGGGCATTGTGAAGAAGGCGTGTAGCGGGGCAACAATAAACATGAAAGCCTGCAGGTGGAGTTCGTACGGCTCTGCTCCAGCCGTGAAGAAACGTAGGAGCGGCGGAACGCGGAGGGTCTCAGCTTCAAAGCGTGACAGTACAACTGCCAGGTGGTACATCGTAAGTTGGAACCTGGCCACGGCCACTTCAAAACACGACATTTGAGATGACGGCTGGTGGTATCAAGAAAGTAAGAACGAGAATAGTGCAGAGCGATGGTCAGGAATCGCGGACTAAAGTTTGCATGTTGAAATACCGTCTCGCAGCGTTAGCGACACGCCATTTAGTGGTTACCATCCACTGGGTCTCGGAACCTAGGTAGCGAGCTGCGAGCCACTCATATTATCGGCCATACCGATGATGGCCATAGTAAAGAATGTTGCACGAGTTGTGTCGCGAAAAGAACGCTTGCCTAATTTAGCACGGAGGGGATTACTGGTGAGGTTTTATGCACAACGTGGAAGATATATAGCTCATATGCCTCCATATCGCGTTCACATTGGACCGGTGAGGATCTAGGTGTATGTGACGATAATAGATACTTTTGATGTTGAGACTTACATACTCTTCAAGTAGTAGTCCGAGGTAATGCCGGCGGGTTCCTTGCGCCCTGAACAGTCTGAACTCTTCACATCGTAATCCTTCGTAACCGTGATAGCGCCAATGTCGCCCTCTTGTGCCAAGTGCCCTGTCTGTGATGTCGCTCCGCCCTTCCGACACAGCTCTTCTTCCGACTCAGTAGCTGTGACGCCTTGTTCCAACCGTGTGATGCTCCCTCTGCGAGCCTTCTTCCCCCATCTCGATCCCCGCGGTCCTTTTGCTTCAGAACCGATAGTCACGATCTGGCCAAGCGATGAGAGCTTGTAGCCTTTTTGGGTTGAGCTGCCTCCGCCAGGCCCCGATCCAGATGAACTTCCACCCCCGAATTTTGTCCACAGTGCCTTGAGGCTCGGCAGGTTGACCGCGATGATCGCAAATTGTATTTCGAGTGCCGCGACAATGACCATCTTTCCCAGCACCCATGATGTGTCCGGTGAGTCGTTGAGCTCGAGGAGGGGCATAAGTCGGAAACATGCGATGATGACGGAACTGCTGCCAAAGACCATGACGCCCAATACTGCAGCTTTGCGTCGAAGCGACATTTGGAGATTCATGACGGTATATATAGGGAGGATGAGGATGTAAAAGTCTTCCAAGATGTTCTGCAACATGATCAGTAGTTCCTTCTTTAAAAAGGCAGCCCTGGGCTTACGAGGATGGAAGGCCCTATGAGGAGGACGAGTTTGCTGATGCAGACAGCATCTGGATGCGTGCCTGGGTGGAGGATCTCGTCAAAGGGAACGCATTGGAAGCATGCCAATAGACTGCGGTGAGGGTCAGAACGGACTGCGCAGCGGTATTCAGAACAGCTTTTCGTGCTGATGGTGGAGGTATTACACACATGTTGATAATTAGGATGGCACCGTTCAAAGCGCCGCCAATGTATACCGCTAGTCGAAAAGTAGGGCTTGGCGAGAGACGCAAGTAGAAAAGGAGGAAAGCTGATTTGATCACCCAGTGAACTGAGTAGTAAACCACTTCTTCAATGAAC